TGTCGTGAGGAGACAACTCAAGGTCCAGCATTGACCCTTAGCGTTCTTGTGCCCAGTCAGCACTTATTATATGCTGTATGCCTGTCATATCTGCAGTTCGTGACACGATGTAAAGCTCGTTTAACGCATTTACAGGATCAACATTCTGGCGTAGTGTGCGCTGCAAGCCTCCATCTCTGCCAGCTGGAGAGCCATTCTAACTACGTACACACGATGGCCGATTGGTTGGCTGTTAGTAAGTGTCGTGAAGGTCATTAAGCATCACAAAGAATTTGACGATTAGCTGAGCCGTGTCAAACATACCCCTTCTATCCAGAGGGAGAAAGCAGCCGGCGGTGTATCGCAGCGGCTCGGCGACGCTCCGGTTGCCGGCCATGGCCGCCGCCTGGCGCAGACGCCGCGCAGCGGAGGCCGAGGCTGCTGAGGCCCGGTGACACCGGTCGAACAGGGCGGAGAGGCGCCAGAGGCAGCCGCCGACGGCGGCCAGGTCGGCGGCCATACTGTGCAGCGCTGCGCCGCCCACGCCGCGCGTCGTCAGCAGGTACGGCACGACGGCCAGGCCGGAGCAGTCGCCCAGCATCGAGAAGAAGAGCCAGTCGGAGGCGAACGCGTGCAGCCGGTCAGCAGCCCGCTGGCACGCGCCGAAGTGGCGCAGGTGCCGCGCGAGGGCGGCGGGCTCGCCGCGCGCGAGACAGTGGCGCAGCGACGACTCGATGGCGGCGAAGCGGCGCTGGTGCTCGGTCACGGCCACATAGAAAAGGAAGTAGGAAAAGTGTAGTGTCATTCGCAGGATCGCCATGAAGGAGAGGCTGACCAGTAGGTAGAGGACCTCGGCCGACGTGGAGTGGGGCATACGGCATGGTCGGCCGCTCGACAAACACAGCATGGCGTAGGTGACGCCCAGGACGTCCGCAGCGTACCAGACGAGGTAGACGACCAGGCGGCGCCACTGGCCGGGCGCGCGCGGCAGTGGGAACGCCTCGCTCAGTCGACGGTGGGCCAGCAGCATCTGCACCAGCTCGCGTCGCTTCGTGAACATGGTGAACACGCCGAACTGGCTGAGGCCGGTGCGCACCCGGATGAGCACCGTCAGCCAGCTGGAGACCGCGGCAGCGGCGCGCGCGCCCGCCTGCTGGCCGGCCAGCCGCGTCCGCAGCGCGAGCACGGCCAGCGCGACGAGCAGCGCGGCCAGGTTTGTCCAGAAGCCGCGGCCGCGCGGCCGGACGGCCGGCAGCCGCCCAGCGCCGGCCAGCTCCAGCGGTAGGGCGCCGATCGCGCGCAGCAGCCGCGCGGGCCGGCGCGATCTTGCGCCAGAGGTCCGGCTCGCGCGGCCGCGCGCTCAGCGCCCGCTGCTGCCGTCGCCGCCGCCGCTCGCGGACGCGACGCATCTCGGCCGCGGGAGCGACGCCGGGCTGGAGCGGGCGGCGACGTGCAGCGCTGACACCACGCTGGCGCCCGCTGCTGAGACGGCGGACGCTTGACTGCTGCTCTGGCTGTGAACCGTTGAGCGAGACGCGGCGTCTATTGGTGAGAGCGCCCAGGCATGATTTGAAAAGCTCGCTCTAGTATGATAGCGCTCTGACACTGAATATCACGTGCCAAACTGTAAGGCTTCGTACACGAATTACCGCTAGCACAGTGCTCATTCATGTCAATATTGGACACCCTCCAAAGGGTCCAGCCGCCACTTCAAAACAACGGACCCGCTTTGCACCCTAAGTCGCGTAAACGACGATCCAGCGGGACTTAAAATAACGGTGAGTTTCGAAGCAGACCAGGTTACCCCCAATTCGGAAGAAGCTCCACGAAACGCGGCGCAGAACAGTCTAAATCAACAGGTGAAGTTTGCAAGATCTCGCTGTTATAGCGCCGCCCCCGCAAACCGCACAACCGTTTGAGCTACTGGTAAAACGGAGGACGGATTACTGAGTCAGCCAAACCCAGTGGTCCTTCTTTTATCACCTTTGTCGTGTGCCTGACTCGTCGTTTGACACCGCGACGTCTCCTAGATCGTTCGAGCATTGAATATCGACTGTGGTTTTGCATCAGCGTGTGTCCCAGGATAATTGGCATGCCAGTTATTCGTTGGGTGTTGGTGTGACATGTAATTACCTGCCCGACGGCTGCTGGCGGGGCCTCTGAGGATAGTCATTGGCAGCGTGATCGGAAACTATCAGCTGACGTCTCGGACGATGACGGCCTGAGCGTTTTGTCGCCGCGTGTGATATGCCAGCTCGCGATAGTCGCGAGGAAACACTCGTAATACCATAATCGATATCGGCCGCCGTTGTCAGCGCCCCGCGAGTCACGCAGGAGGGTGCGCCACGTCCCAGCTGACGCCGTAGCCGCAAAAGTTCGCCCTGCTGGCTGGCTGGGGGACGCCCCACCTGAAGGAAGATCGCGCATTTTCCCGCCGAACCAATAACGGCATGACTGCCAGGATGCAGGGCTTGTTACAGTGCCGCCGCGTACCGAAGGGCGTATGTTTGGGGACGAGGGCTGGGGTCTGTTCGGCTGGCATGTGTGGTGACGACAGCGGGGCCTGTTCGGCTGGCATGTGTGTGGTGACGAGAGCTGGGGTCTGTTCGGCCGGCATGTGTCGGGGGACGACAGCGGGGCCTGTTCGGCTGGCATGTGTGTGGTGGACGACAGCGGGGCCTGTTCGGATGGTATGTGTGTGGTGACGAGAGCGGGGGCCTGTTCGGCTGGCATATGTGTGGTGACGACAGCGGGGCCTGTTCGGCTGGGTATGTGTGTGGTGACGAGATCGGCGGTCCTGTTCGGCTGGCATATGTGTGGTGACGACAGCGGGGCCTGTTCGGCTGGCACGTACCGATGAATGAGAGCGGATTGATGTTCCCTGTGTAGCTCGCGATGCACTACACTCGTATTGCACTGAACAGGGGCAACTTCTGCGTCCATCCTAAGCTTCGCCTACCACCGGACCACGTTTGCCCCGGGTCATATTACTCAGCTCACCCACTGTCGCACAACTAAAAGGGAGGAGGCTCTCTTGTGGCTCCAAGATTACGGACCAGTATAGATAAAACATGCCCAGCCAAGCGCACTGTATGTACTGCGGGCTATGGAAAAAAACGTCATGTGTAACTGAATCTTGACTTATTTTTTTGTAAAATCGCAGCACCGTTCACAGTGGGGTACTTTTGGAAATATATTTTCCTATCCATTACTGCTGCTATGTACATGCATATATATATATATATATATATATATATATATATATATAATATATATATATAGGCATAGAGATAGATCATGTGTGTGCATGTGCGTGTGCGTGTCCGTGTGCGTGCGTGCGTGCACGCGTGTGTCTGTGCGTTGCGCGTGTTCGTGTATACTAACTATGCGTCAGCTATATATCCAGTGAGATAGACCCAAAACTCTTACACTTCTCCGCCCCCCCCCCCTCCCCCCGCTCCCCCGAACACCACGAGACACGAGTCTAACCTGCGTTCTCCTTAAGCTAAGCGAGCGAGCACGCTGGATGGTCGACGGTCCTGAGACGTCACACACGTCTGGCAAAACGCTGCCAATGATTCCCTACGCCACTCGCGCAGCCACAACGGGGGGACGCCCGTCGCTCTCTTCGTGTCGCTATTGCTGCTTCGGCCTGTTCCAGTGCAGACATATCACGCGTCAACAACGAGCAACAACGTGCGAATGCATATCGTTATTCACCTGGTCTGGCCTTGCCCAGCGAACAGTCCACATAAAGACACCACTCCCACACACTTGACCATAGCCGGATCCGTTCGTGAATCTCTTAACCAATACACTAGCGCTAATTATGAATTCCGTAAACCTGCGTTTCGCATCGCTCTGTGATTGGTTGGGTTTTGACCTCAAACGACTGCACACGTAGGGCAATGGTCGCTCACGTTTTTACAACTGGCTGTAGCTATCATTTACCAAACTGACATTCCGACCCGTTCGCGCGTCATGAATAACCCACCGTAGCTAACATGCCCATCTCCTATCTTCGGCATAACATAGCCGTCTCCCATGCTACCTTAGAACCATTGCGTACATTACGCAGCGTGTATAAATGTTCGTAACAAGTTCCACTCACAAATACGTGTACAAACGCACACCAGTCCCAGAACATAATGGACACCACGCTCCAGAAGGCTGCACTTGAGAACCAGTCTGAGCAATCTGCTGTCACATGCGTGACAGCTCTAGCGACGTTAATGTCAGACGTCTCGCCGGACGACAGCAAGACAGCACCAGCCGCCCCCCAGCGGCGCGTCGCCGCACCGCAGGACCCACAGCTCGCGTGCGGCGGTGAGACTCTGAGCACTGGCACCAGCGGGGCAGCACCGGACGCGGGGCGGGTGGTCGGCGCGCGGCCGCTCCTGCCGCCGTGAACACAGCTGGTTGCCCCTCTCGGTTACCAGGCGCCGGGGCGGCCAGGCTCGCGTCCGCCGCCGGTCGGCGCGCGACACGCCCCGGAACCCGGCCGCTCCCCGACGTGACACCGCGGGCCATCGCGCGTTAGAACGCTGCCTTCCCCCTCCCCTCCCTCCCTCTCCCGACACTAGCGTCGCCTCACATCACGCTACACTCGGCGCCAGCGGCGGCGCCGAGGCCGGCCGGCAGGCGCGGGTTACCATCGCTGTCAAACGGATGCCCAGATCCGACTCGCCGACCAGCTCCTTCGGCGGCTGCCCGAGCGCCTGCATCTGCTGCATCAGCTGGAACACCGCGCTTCCTGGCGAGCGCGCTCGGCCTCGGCGCCGGTCGCCTCCTCCTCGAACACGGCGCACACGTCCAACATGAGCTGGTGCTGGCGCTGGTAGCGCTGCCGCTCGGGCTCGGCCAGCGCTGGGCCGTGCTCGGCCAGCCAGGCGGGGTAGCGGTCCGACACGTCCTTCAGCGACGGGTACAGCACGTCCTTGGAGAGGATGCTGCTCATAACCGTCTGCATAAGCGGCATGAAAGCGTCCAGCGAGGGCGCATCCGGCGCAGCGCCGCTGCCACCCGCCACCAAAAGTGCGCAGGAGTTCAGCCATGTCCGGCTCGCCGCCCATCTGCCAGAGGCGGACGCAGGGTCAGAGGAAGGAGGTCGAGCCAGACTCCCCTCCCCTCCATCCCCTCGAGGCAGACACGGCGTCAAGGCAAGGACATGCCACCCTCTTGCCGGAGGCGGACAAAGGGTCAGAGCAAGGACACGCCCCGCCCCCGCCCCCCCCCCCCCCCCCCCTCTGCCAGAGGCGGACATAGGGTCGAAGGGGAGGACCTGCCCCCTCTGTCCGAGGGGGACATAGGGTCTGCGAGGTATGTCCGGATCTCCCCCTCCCCACTATCTACCAGCAGCGGTTCGGAGACATCGGACGGTCCGAGGGGGGGGGGGGGCATCGAGGAGAGCGACTGGCACGTGTAGGAGTGGTCCAAACTCGGGTCTTGTGAGTGCGGCAAAAGAAAAAACAACTTTCTTGAGGTCCAAGAAACACCCAAACTGGGGACGCGGTCAGAACACTTTTGCGACTCAGTGACAGCTGCACCGGTACCCTGCCTTCCCGCCACGGTGCCGGTACTCCGAGCGAGGCGGGTACCTTCTCAGCATCGGAGGTCATGGTCTTGGACAGGTCGGCCAGCGTCTTGGCCAACGGGTCCTCGGCGCCCTCCACCTCCGTCTTAGCCATCTCCTCGGCCAGGTTGGCCATCATGGACGAGAAGGCGGCCTCGGCCTGGCCGCCCTCTGCCGGCGCGTCCTGTCAACAGGGCCAGCGCGGTACGTCATGCTCATGCTCGGCCAACGACCAAGTGGAAAAGTCCGAGTACGTGAAGTGAGCGCAAGTGTGCCCGCCAACGCTGACCACTTTATCTGATGATGTTACTGACTGAATAATGCAATGATGACTAAATGTAGTACGCCTGGAGATCGATCAGCGCCTCATCTACGGCCTGTTTTTACAGTTCACCAGCAAAATCACGTGGCAGACGTCTGGCCTCCCTGGACCGGTTCGCACCTTCAGCGCCTGCTTCATCGCCTCTTCGAAGGACTTGTAGGCGTCGCTGAAGTTGAGCTCCTCCGGCCCTGCCGAAGACGACGCCGCGCCCGACGCTGAAGCTGACGCCGAACCTGCAGCCGGAGCTGAAGCCGTAGCTGAAGTCGTAGCCGTAGCCGTAGCCGTAGCCGAAGCTGAAGCCGAAGCCGACGCCGGCAGTGGGCGGCCGAAGTCTGCCAGTGCGCTGTCCAGCAGTTTCACTAAGCTCCGGGTCGTCTGGGTCATCCACCAGCTCGGCTGGGGCGCGCGGTGCGTCGTCCGAGCTCATGGCGTCAGCAGCAGTTACCCCCGCCGGCAGGGTCGGCACACGGCAGGTAGAGCCGGCCTGCGCTCAGCTGGGCTCGCAAGGACACCTCCCTGAAAGGGTCAGCAGGGTCAGCACACGGCAGGTACAGGCGGCCTGCGCTCAGCTGGGCTCGCAAGGACACCTCCCTGAAAGGGCCCAGCAGGGTCGGCACACGGCGGGTAGAGCCGGCCTGCACTCAGCTGGGCTCGCAAGGACACCTCCCTGAAAGGGCCCAGCAGGGTCGGCACACGGCGGGTAGAGCCGGGCCTGCGCTCAGCTGGGCTCACAGAGACACCTCCCTGAAAGGGTTCCAGCAGGGTCGGCACACGGTGGGTAGAGCCGGCCTGCGCACAGCTGGGCTCGCAAGGACACCTCCCTGAAAGGGTCCAGCAGGGTCGGCACATGGCGGGTAGAGCCGCCCTGCGCTCAGCTGGGCTCACAAGGACACCTCCCTGAAAGGGTCCAGCAGGGTCGGCACACGGCGGGTAGAGCCGGCCTGCGTTCAGTTGGGCTCACAGGGACACCTCCCTGAAAGGGTCCAGCAGGGTCGGCACACGGCAGGTAGAGCCAGCCTGCGCTCAGCTGGGCTCACAAGAACACCTCCCTGAAAGGGTCCAGCAGGGTCGGCACACGGCAGGTACAGCCGGCCTGCGCTCAGCTGGGCTCACAAGAACACCTCCCTGAAAGCGATGAAGATGTGGCAATGTAAACCTCGCTGCTTTAATGAATGTGGGGAACACATTCTGGTTACCTCTTCTCAGACTGAATTTTGGCATTTGATACTATTCTGTGAAAACATAAAGGATAAAACGTAGCATTGTCTTAAAATAATGTTCCTTATTCAAGTCATCATAGCAGCAACATTGTTGAAAACGAGTACTCATTTGAAGATGACCAGGACCAGGACTGGTAGATTAGAGGTTTGCAATGGGACATCCATTGTCACTGGAATCAATAAACATAAACCCTGAGACACTGCATGGAAACAGGCTTCTTATAAGCCAGCCTTGCCTTGCAGTCTTAAACATGCACTGTTGTCAATGGCACAAATCGTGCTATTGACACATATCACTCACAAGACGTTTGATAGAAAAAAATCTGAAATCTCAATCAAACCAAAATAGAACTTTGTATACCCTGCATTAGTTGCTTCCATTTTACATGTATCAGGGAGAAGATACCTTACCAGTAACTTTGAGCCTGCTGTAACAACGGTAACAGCCGGACATGTTCCCACAAATGGCCATCCCAGCCATAACAGAGCAATGTTTTCATGGGCCCACGGTGGCCAACGACAAAGGCTGCTCTTCAAGGCATCCGGACCTATAATAGCATGTAGACCAATCAATGGTAAGGACAATTAGTACCAATGTGAAAGCTTCACCTTGAAAAGGCAAATGCTGTGCGTACACACCCTTAAAATTGGAGGGCGGGGGGGGGGGTTACGCAGCGGGCTTATACACTCTCCAAAATGAAGGAAGACTATGCACGGTGCCCACACAATGATACACCCTCAAAAACCTCCAGATTGAACAAGCAACTGAAGTAATAAAAAGCTTGAGTTGGGAGTGAAGAGAGTTGGTAATATTGCTATAAATATGAGACGATCATCAAAGTGTCTCCATGTGCCCGAAGCCAATTTTCTACATCTCTGCATTGTAGAAAGTTTAGAGAGGGCAGTGGTCAGGTGGTTAACGCAGCTGGTCCTCCGCCCCTGAGCCCGGGCTGTAATCCCGGCGGCGGTGGGATCCCTGAACGGTGGTACGGCCAACGCGGACGCCTTTATCCCGTGACGCTTGAACGGTGGCATCAGTGGTGGTGATGTCACACCTGTCTGAGAAGACAAAAGCTCAAGTTCTCGGTACTGGACAGTGGCGCAGTTTTCTATGTCCTAGAGGACCCCTCCCCCCCCCCCTTATTTGGGCTCCTCCAAGAAGAAAGTAGACCAAATTCGAGGAGAAACTTACTTGTTACCCTAGGCTTGGAGAAGGACTTTTATTTTTCGCTTTTCTGCCCCTCCCCGAGCTCAGTTTGCGAAACCATGCCTTGATACCGGACTATCGCGGAGAGAAAGTGTCTGACTCTAGGCCTGAAGTGTCATTCAGGTGACCACGGAGAAACGTCAAATGAGAGCGCCGAAAATCCGATATGGGGTCCCGGGGGGCTGGCTCGAGGTCACTGAGGGGGCGCGGGTCGGACCCTCAAACACCAGTCAGAGAGCCCGCTGCACCGATTGGGCTCCCCGAGACTATGAGGGCCTCTATGGCACTTAGACGCTACCAATTCTGAACAGTTGGCTCGGTGTCGGTCTGAGTCTGGGAGCCCATTTCCCAAGTAGGGACAAGGCCAGGAGCCGCGATTTACATTGGCCGGTGCGCCCCGAGTCAATGAGGAGCCCCTGTGTCGGCCAAGGGCCCACAGCGCCTAACAGCGGGTCCGGTGTTGACAAGGGGTCCCGAGTCGGTGAGGGAGGGTGTTCGAGGCTGCCCGACGAGGGGCCGCTGTGCCCTTCAACACTGACGATCAACGGCCCGATGGGAAGACTGAAGGGCCGTAAGGGTCAAAAGGGTGCAGGTTATCCCGGCCCATGTGGCTGTGGCCCCAAATGTCAGTCAAAATCCCCGTTTCACCGATTGTGAGACCATGGGACAATACGAGCCCCTATCTCGGCCAGAGACCACTACATCGAATAGTCGACTTAGTGTTGTTCTGATCCCTGGGGCTCCTATTTCCCCAGCGGGAACGAGGCCAAGGTCCGCGATTGGCATTGGTTGGCGGCCCTCCAGCAATGAGGGGCCCTTTGACGGTCAGGCCCCCAAAGTGCCCAACAGGGGGTCCTGTGATGGAGGGAGCCCCGATTAGGCCAGGGGTGACCCGGGGTCCTTGCAGGGCCCCTCACCCCGTTTCAGCCAAGGGCCCGTTAACCAAGACTGGGTCTCCGTGGCAGTTGTTGGACGACCTGCGGTTATCAGGGATCTTTTAGCACCAATGACGGCTCTTGCACCTATCTGGGACGAAATATCCAGACCAGAGGGCCTTCAGCACCGGAGGACCCTCAGCACCGGGGTCGACGACGATGTATGATGCATCTCTGTAAGAGCCTCCGGATCGACCAGCCGAATCCGCCTCCACGTAGCCAGAATGGCAGCCACTGGACATCGCGCACTGAGACGGAATGGTCTTTATGCAATTGATCGGAATGACAGTGGGCACCCTACTTTTCACCGATTGTGAATCACGGTTAAGCATTCCCAGATGGAATAGGGCAGCCTATGTTTATGCAAGTTGCTGGGCTCTATAAGATTTACGGTCAACATTCACGGATCCTCAACACCTCTTCAGTATGGGCTCCCTTGCAGCATTAGAAACTATGCCTTCGTCCGACATCAAAGCCCAAGTAGTGTTTGATTCCGTTCGAGTGAAGCAAGTGACATCATCATACCACGCCCATAGACCATAAAGCCCTCCACTAAAGAGTGGTCATCATCACGATTCTAACTCAGGTCTGCTACATGCGATACTAGCACGCTAACCATCCAGCCACCCTGGATGCCAAACCAACACACTAACCACCCCAAACTCCGGGTATTTTTCTTCCTCTTGCGCTCTCAGATACTGAAGAAATGTTGTGATCATGGTTCACTCAGCGTACCGTGTATGTTTTGCCGTCTAGCCCAACGTAAATGCGCCGCCTAAAACACGCATAAAATGGGACGCTTGGAGCAAGGGACAAATGCAGCTTGCAAACACCATCCATATTTTTTAAGTGAATCCTTCATTGCCTTTCACACAACAAACATTTTTAGCCACGTACCTGCTTATAGCGCGCTTGCAACGTCACTCAGCTCTTAACCAAAGCTGGAAACCGGTATGCGAAAACGAGTTCTTGAGCGAGCTTGCAAGCTGCCTGAGATATGGATGGAATGTAACATACGCGTCATATTTGACCTGTTTTCAGAACAGGTTCAGCTGATATTTTCAGGACTTCAATAAAATCATTTTAAATTAGTTATTTTCTTTTTTTTCCTCATTGGAAATTACTCGTCATCATAGGATATTTGTAATCCTTATATTCACGCAAAAATAATGCTTTTTATTGTCACTTAGAACAGAGGTAAATATAACTAAGCAAATTGATGGCTTGTTTCTTGATGCAATGGCAGTAGCTGCGCGTTAGTTTCATTTACTTACACCGACACGTGAAAGAATCGGCGTTGTTTAGTAAGAGTGCATTATCCGCGTCTTTGGTAAGTAATTGCAGTAATGCTCGTATTCAGTGTGAGGGCGAATATTGTCAGCATTGCTTAGAGCAAGTTATCAATGTCGTGTTGGTCGCACCATCGACCCTTGGCGCCACTAATGTCTTTGGGGTCCAAGGGTGGGATGCCCTGGGTGCGGACAGAGAGTTAGCTTGCTGCGAATTGACCACTGTGGGGTTCCATGCGTTTATTGTGTGAATGGACTGCGTGGGAGTTGTGCTTTTGGGGTCTGTACAGAAAAAGTACTCTGCACAGTCTGGTGGAGCGGCCAGATCATTTAAATAGCTGGCTTATGTATGCTGTGAACCCAAGTGCACTGAGTTTGATCCACAGTCATTGCCGATGTCATTGGATAGAGAACCAACGTTTCAAGAATTTGTGATGTAAACATAATTTCTGGCAAATAGCAATCTTGAAGCATTTTTTGCTTCCATTATACATAGGACTTATGCTGGGCTCTAAATATGGGGACACTGGGCACGAGGCCCAGGGTGGGAGTATTGCTTGGCCTGAGTGAGCAGAGGGCTTGCTGGCCACTGGCCATTGGGGTCAACCCAAGCCAGGAGCACCTGTGCCAGCAGGATTGTGCTGTTTGGTGTGTAAAATACTCTTTATCGCTATCTGGCCAGAGCATGAATGCTAAAGTATCTGTTGAACTAAATGGAACAATAGGGATGGTGGGTTCAGGGAGCGTGCAACAAGCTGTGCTTTGCAGGCGCTGAACCCAAAACCATCCATTCCAACCATTCAGAATAGACTTATCTACAGATAGATATTTTCCATTTTAAAAAGTTAGGTGAAAATTCGGCACACTGGCCTGGCCTGAGTTTGGTGTCTGTGATTGGTTTGGCCCTAACTTGCAAAAAAATGAATCCACAGTGCCCAACATTTGTCTGATTGAATTGTGGCCAATCAGCAACAATAAACTTGCTGTGACATTTGACAAAGTGGTTTGCAGCCAACTTGCAAAAGTTTATCAGTCTTAGCATAACATCTGTATGACATTGGTGAGCTGAGCCTTGACTTATGTGTGTCAAGCTCATACCAGGCTAGATGTCCCTGAATTTTCAAATTATTGTGTGGGACAAGTGGTCTCAGTCTTTTTGAGCGATATTACCTATGTGACATTACTTTTCCCTGTAACCTTGGCTCTGTGCTCTGAAATTGGTGGCTGTGTGCAGAATTTGGGGTGTGCCAATTTAAAGCAGACATATGCCAAAATATGTCCCGCTATGCACATATATTCAGTGTAACAGGGCTTTTTTGCTGTCTGGTTTGGGCATGTTCACTGTGATGAGGTGCTCATGGTTTGAAGTGATTTTTTTATGTAGATGTGGTTGCACAATTTGGCTAATACAGTAGGAATGAATTTGGCTACCCAGGTTATGCATGTGTGCCATGTGGCATGTACTTAGCAATAGGTTGGTTTCTGTGCTGGCAGTGTACATAGTGCAGTGGACATAGTGGGGGTTTTACCACCATTGAGCTGATTCTGCAGTTTAACTGCATGTCTGGTGCTCTGCAAAAAATGTCCCTTTTCATATTTTCCTCCTTTTGTGTTAAGTATCTTACAGCTTTTTGTTAGGGGCATGCTCTACAACTTCCTCATTCCAAATTCCCACAAACCACACATGCACTAAGTTCATACATAAGTTTATCATACATATGCCTTCCAGTTGAGGGCATTGCTCCAATATTCTGCCACTCAGGTGGCAGGGATGTCAATATTTCTTTCATAATGGAACACCCTGGCTTCGGGCTCAATGCCAGTGCCCCCCCCCCTTCCTCAAAATTGGCCAATCAACATCAAACTTGGTGGCATTTAAACTGGTATGTATGTGCCTCAGGCTTGACAAATGTGCTGATTAGGTCAGATGTCTGGGAGTGAGGTCAAAGAGCGACAGATCAGCGCTGATAAATTGCCCACAGTGACCACTGGAGAGCCAGGATCTGGTAGCATTAGCGCCGACGAATTGCCGCAGTGACCACTGGAGAGCCAGGATCTGGTAGCATTAGCGCCGACGAATTGCCCGCAGTGACCACTGGAGAGCCAGGATCTGGTAGGATTAGCGCCGAAGAATTGCCCGCAGTGACCACTGGAGAGCCAGGATCTGGTAGCATTAGCGCCGACGAATTGCCCACAGTGACCACTGGAGAGCCAGGATCTGGTAGCATTAATCTATATTTGCACCCTGCACACCCTACTGGATGAATTTTGTGATGCGGATTAAGGGTTGACATGCAATTCAGACTGGCCAGTTGCCATGTTGGTGTATGTGTGTGTGTCCTCTTGAACTTGTTTTTAGCGCCCTGTTACCTTATTAAAATTGAAGCCTGGCATCCCCCATTTCCCAATGAAGAGATTATATCAGTACAAAGATATTGTTTGAGGCTGGATGTTCACAGCCCTGTTAAATGCTGCAACTTGTCCTGGCATCAGAATTCTGTATACCTGATTTCATATGTCAGATGTTTTGAAGACAGTGACAGCAGCCATGGTCCTTGGCAAGTGACAATGGAAACAAGGCACCAGGGATCCTGTTGAGGCTTTTGCCATTATTATGGGTAACTCAGCTCTCTGTCTGTCCCCATCAAACGAAAGATGAAGAATGTGTGATGCCCCAGCCAAAGATGATGATGAAATAATTAGTTCTTTTGTTTTTAGGAGGCGGATACATCATCACCATGGAAAGAGCTCTTGCGGTCCTCACCAGGATCGAAGATGACGTTAAGAAGCTGAAGACAACAGATGTCAAAAAGGAGGAAGACCTTGAATATGATTTGGGACTTGTGATGGCATCAGACCCCAACCCCCTGGACCACGGTGCCATCCGGTAAGCCGATACCATCTGTAGGAATGTTATGCAGTGTCCAGGCTTCATTGCCATAATCTAGGTCCCCGTATGAGCCATCTACACTATTTCAGTATTCGGCTGTTTAGGTGACAGGAATGTCAGTATTTTGTCATGCTATTACATCCCTGGGCTGGGGTTCGCTGCTTGTTCTTCCTCTCCTTGCTCAAAATCGGCCAATCAGCACCAAACCGAGCAGCAGTCAGCCCAGCATCAAAGTGCCTCAAGCTTGACAACTAGACGGGGCAGGTCAAATGTCTGGGTGCGGCGTCAAAAAGTAACGGGTTAGCCCCAACAGATGGCAGGTGGAGACCGCTGGAGAGCCAGGATTTTCGTAGCATTGATTTATATTGACATCCTGCACATCGTACTGGATGAATTATGGACCGCCACTCATCTACCATAATTAGAATATCCCCAAGGTGTGCTGGTTCGAAGTTTCACGAGCGTTGATACACCCAAAACCAATGCTATTATCACATGCAGGCATTGTGTAAGATGATCTTTGGAGGGCTAATTTTTCTGGGATCTTTGTGGGCTAATTTAGCCCACGCATTAATTGTGAACGATCATCTTGCGGGGCAGTCGTGATAGCTGTTGGGGCTGGCGCGGAGCGCCGTCCGCGCCCGTGCCGACGTCCGCTTTACGCCGCCGACAGGGTCGACCGCGAGCTGTACCTGCACCAGCTGGCGCGGGATAACTGCCAGCTGCTCATCAACAAGCTGTTCGAGCTGCCCAAGGAGACCAAGGACGACGTCACTGCCGTGGTGTTGCCGCCCGCTCAGATGAGGTATTGCGGAGTGTACTGCTGTCATGTCACGTGACTTACTGCCCGGTGTACTGCCGCCCAGCCGAGCTTCTGTGCAGGTTAACACAGTGCTATTCATTTGTGCGGAGTGTAAGCGTGATCTACCGACTTCGAAGTTCGGCTTCATTACGGTGATTTTGGTTGTTCGGGCTTAGGCAGATGGAGACTGACTTGCTTTAATGTTTTCATTTATTACCGAAAATCGTTTTGCGCTCAGGCAAGCTGTACGTCTGTCTTTCGCGCAGAAAAATGTGCTGGTTTGCGCCACATTTTCAATTGTTGGTTTGTTTTGGCGGTCAGTGGAATTAAAAGCTACTCGCATTATGGGTGCCTGTGGACAAGTGAATATCGATCTGTGTGGAAGAACAGGAAAAGGTTGTGGGATAGCACATGCCATGGCTGGCATGACCTTCCATTTTTTTTTTGCGTGTGGTTCGGTGTTATCGCGTTGGCTGTCATTGACTATGACACTTCCGTTTTGTAAGCTTGTCACGTCCGACACCGCGGGTGGGTTAGATAGACTGCCGACATGGATACGCCTGCTTTTTTAGTCAGAAGGCTGCGGAAGATTGGCTGTCAGGGTCTCGAGGATCATTTGAGGCAGCACAAAAATTGGCATTGTGCCCCGAGCCCCTCCTGAATCAAATCCGTGCTGAATACTTTCTTTAGGAATACGTGTGCCGTGTTCGCGGACGTTTGTACTTTCGGCAAAAGCGTCAGACCACTGAGGGCTGCTTGTTGGCAGGATACCGCGAGAGAAGCCGGTGCCGAAGCCTAAGCCGCTGAGCAAGTGGGAAGAGTACGCGAAAGCCAAGGGCATCACGCGCAACAAGAAGAGCAAGAAAGTGTGGGATGTTGAGCTGAAGGTGAGGAAACATTGCACCGCTTCACAGTTGGATGGTTCCGGTTTCCATTTGGCGCGATACGTTTGACCCCGTGTGTTCATTAACTTTTGAAACTTATGCTGCTTAAAATTTTAGCCATGCATGGCAATGCTGGCACGCGCGCCAACCCATGTTCTGACCGGGATGAGGTCCGCCATCCCTGGCTGCTCATCACAAATCTGCTGCTTAACCTCACTGGCATCTCGTGCTGGCCTTGTACTGTACTTCGTCGGTTTGTTGGGACGAGTTCCTGGATGAGTCAGGGCTATCACCGTCCCTGCACAGCTTCATTTTCATCGTGTCACCGCGTGCTATTGTCCTCATTGTGTCGGGTCCGCCGCCCTCATCGGTCCCTACTCGGCCCATACTCGGCCCTACTCGGCCCATACTCGGTCTCCCTACTCCCCATACTCGGTCCCTACTCGGCCCATACTCGGTCCCTACTCGGCCCATACTCGGTCCCTACTCGGCCCATACTCGGTCCCTACTCGGCTACCATACTCGGTCCCTACTCGGCCCATACTCGGTCCCTACTCGGCCCATACTCGTCCCACTCGGCCCATACTCGGTCCCTACTCGGCCCATACTCGGTCCCTACTCGGCCCATACTCGGTCCACACTCGGTCTACACTTGGTCTGCACTCGTTCTACACTCGGTCTACACTCGGTCTACACTCGGTCTGCACTCGGTCCCCACTCGGTCCATACTGCGTGCACATCCGTCTACACTCGGTTTACACTCGGTCCACACTTGGTCCCCACTCGGTTCCCGATCGGTGCCCACTCCACTGGGCTGAGCTGCATCGATTCCTCCTCAGCGCTGGGTGCCGCGCTTCGGCGCCAAGAAGGCACAGGCGGAGCGCGAGAAGAACTGGGTGATGGAGGTGCCGGTCAACACAGACCCCAACACGGACATGTTCGCTCAGGTAAGCCGGCCGCCCGTGCGGCGCCTCTCAGCCCTCGACGCCGACGCCGGCTGGGGGGGGGGGGGGGACGGCAGCGGCAGGAGAGCGAGTGTGGAGCGGGGTTTCATCGAGCGCACGGCGGAAGCGGCGCCAGCCGAACGAAGCGATGCTCTAGGAAGATGGTGCGGGGGTGCGCGACACCGTGTTCGCGTGTTTGCGACGGGAGGGAATCCGTGTTATGGGACGTGAAAGATTTCAGAGACCGTTTTTGAAGCGCATTTGTTACGTATGTGCGCGTATACCTAACTCGCTTACGTCATCGCCGCGGTGCTAATAGCGCTTGAGTTGTGGCGATCATGATCACGCATCTGCATCTTCAATCAGATACACTGGAGGCTGCCGATCGGTGTCAGGGAGGGAGGGAAGACTGGGAGTTTTCTCAATCGTGTCCTTACACCGCAACCGCGTGTCTGTAGGCGGCCGAGAAGAAACGCGAGCGCGTTGCCAAGAACGAGCTGCAGCGGCTGCGCAACATCAAGCGCAACATGAAGGTGCCAACGGTCGGGTCACGCCCAAGGACGTCTCGAAGAGCAGCACGTCAGAGGTAGGGCGGCCGACCTGAGCACATCTTAATGACACCATGCCCGGTTCGTTAACGTCTAGGCTATTGGTAATTGAGCTGGGTGATGTGCCATGCAATGTGTCTTCATCGTCGGACGCACCGTTGTGCTCAAATGCGCTATGTTGCCACCACATTTCGTAAAAATGTGCTCGATGTGCTGTTGATGGAGGAGTGGCCGGGCGCCCCTGCCTCCTCCCCACTCGTTGCCAATGAACTTTCACTGCACCCCTTCACGCCGCCCTTGTCATAACGTCACTCCGCACACTTCTGACGTCGCTCTCTGTGCCCCTGACGTCACTTTGCCTACCTCTGACGTCACTCTGCCTACCTCTGACGTCACTCTGCCTACCTCTGACGTCACTCTGCATACCTCTGACGTCACTCTGCCTACCTCTGACGTCACTCTGCCTACCTCTGACGTCACTCTGCCTACCTCTGACATCACTGTCTACCTCTGATGCCATTCTGCCCACCTCTGACGTCATTCTGCCTACCTTTGACGTTACCCTGCCTACCTCTGACATCACTATCTACCCACCTCTGGTCATTCTTCCTACCTTTGACCCTCACCCCCGCCTACCCCTGACGTCACTGTGCCTACTTCTGACGTCACTGTACCTACCTCTGACGTCCTCTGCTTACCTGTGACGTAATTATGGGTACCTCTGACGTCACTTTGTCTACCTCTGACTTAATTCTGCCTACCTCAGCAGTCACTCTGCCTGCCCCTGACGTAATTCTGCCTACTTCTGACGTCACGCTGTCTATCTGACGTCACTGCTTACCTCGGAACGTTACTCTGGCCTGCCTCTGACGTTACGGGCGGCCGGCAGCTGACGGAGGCGGCGGCGCTGGCGCGGGCGCAGCACGGCCTCGCTGGGTCAGTTCAGCCGCAAGCTGCCGCGCGACGCGCCGACCAAGGAGCGCGGCCGACGCCGCCAGTTCGGCCCGTCCGTGGGCGACACGCGCGGTGAAGTGCAGGGCCAGCTGGAGCTGCTGCAGACGCTGGGCCGGCGGCCGGCCGGCGGCGCCGTCGACGCCGAGAAGGCGGCCAACCGTGTCATCCATCAGGAGCAGCGCGAGTGAGTGTCGTGTGCTCGCAGCCGCAGCAGAGTTAGAGTTAGGGTTACAGTTAGGCAGCAGACCGGGCTTCGGTGTTCCGCCGAGATCGTTGCCTGTGCTGGGAGTTGGGATGTCAGACCATGCAGAGTCTGAGGTAGGCTGTTGCACTGGAGACAGCTGCAGGAGGCAGTTGTATTAGTTGGTGGTTCCCAGTTGTGTAAGGAATCTCAGAATGTGTTACAAAAACGAGGGACTGTTCACGAATTTGTGCATCTTTGTCGTGCTGTGACCAGCTGTACCTTGCCGTCAAATAATCCTTGTTCCCTTAGGCTATTTGGTTGCAACATTTGGCATATATATTTTTATCGCGTGGCTGATGTGGTATGAAGATAAGATTGCGAAGCCCCAACTGCGTCACCGTGGGTGATTGTTCCCCTCCCTCCCGCAGACGGGCGGCCGGGAAAGCCGACGCCAAGCCAAAGAAGGGCAAGAAGAGATGGATTCCCAACACAAAGAAAGGAGAAAAGCAGAAAAAGGCGATCGCCAAGAAAGCCGGAAAGGGCAAAGCTGGGAAAGGAAAGAAGGGGAAAGGACGATAAGGTGTTGGTGTGCGGGGTATTTTCGGAGATCATGGTGTTCGTGGAAAGTGTTGTTGCAGTATGTGCTATTTCCCCGCCCCCGACCCCACCTCCCTGAGCACAGGGCGAGCGCGTCGGCTGACGTGGCGTGGATGTTGACTGCGCTCCGCCGACCCGGGCTTATTCCACCGACCCGGCTGTGCTCCGAAGATCTGGCCGTGCTCCGAGGACCTAGCTGTGCCCCGAGGACCCGACCGTGCTTTGCGGACCCGGCTGTGCTCAGTGGATCTGGCATGCGGCGCGGTCGGCTTTATCGCCCATCCCTGACAATATCCTCAGGCCCCGGAAGGCGCGCGTGGTCGGAAGGGGGGCCACCAGCTGGAGGTGAGGATGGCCCGGCTGCTGCTCGAGTTCAGGTTGGAGGAGAGCCATCAGCTGGGGAGGAGGGTCCGGCTGCCCGAGGTTAGGTCAGAGAGGGACCATCAGCTGGGGAGGAGGGCCCGGCTGCCCGAGGTTAGGTCGGAGGGCAGCCATCATCTGATGAGAAGGGCCTGGCTGCCCGAGTTGAGGTGAGCTGCGGCTGAAATACCTGGACTGGTGACGCTGCCAACGTTTGCCCCGCATGTTTTTGGCAGAGATGTAGATGGCGCCACATGTTGATCATGATCAGCTGGCCCTGCGCTGTTGTCCGGTTCGGCTTGTGAATACATCCATGAGTCTTAGCCATGTGTCGTGATGGAGGGTACGGGCGCGAGAATAGGGGACTGAAGCGACATGGTGCTGGACGGAATGCGTTTCAGGGCTTACTTTGGCAGGTGTGCGTTCGTGGACGCACTTTTTAGTCGCGCTCTTCGCGGACCCAGGACGTATGCCAAGCAGAGTGGGGCCTGGGGACCGATTTCCCAACTCAATTTAACATTGACACTGGGCGCTGGTTGCAAAGAGGACGAATGACCATGTTTTCCCCCTATTTTGGGGGATTTTCAACCGTTACTGCTAACGAGATCCTCCATCGGCTCCCACTTCCCTTGGAGAAATTTCGCCAATCGACCTTGGCGGCCTCGTGCGTTTGTTAACAATCAAAGAAGTGCCGTTCGAAGAAAGCATGTCTATGAGCGTGCATCTCAATCTAAACCATTCGGGTACATGCGCGGGTGACTGACCTAGTTTAAGAAAACCATTTCGTCGTCTTCAATCTGACTAGGTCGCCATTTTGGCTTGTGTGCGTATGTCCTTTTTTCGTCAAAGCTCGAGCCGGGGGTGCTCTCTTGGCTTCGATCCCCCGCTCATTCGATACATTCGGCCGGCCGACTGGCGAATACAGCACGCTCTGGCCCCGGCTTGGCTGGTGTGGGGATCGCTCTGACAGCTGTCATACCTTCCCGTAGTCCTCGTAAGGGAGCCCTGCCGACTGGCGAATACAGCACGTACTGCCCCGGCTTGGCTGGTGTGGGGTTTGCTCTGGCACCTGGCATACCCTCCCGTAGTCCTCGTAAGGGAGCCCTGCCGACTGGCGAATACAGCACGCACTGGCCCCGGCTTGGCTGGTTTGGGGATCGCTCTGACAGCTGTCATACCTTCCCGTAGTCCTCGTAAGGGAGCCCTGCCGACTGGCGAATACAGCACGCACTGGCCCCGGCTTGGCTGGTTTGGGGATCGCTCTGACAGCTGTCATACCTTCCCGTAGTCCTCGTAAGGGAGCCCTGCCAACTGGCGAATACAGCACGTACTGGCCACGGCTTGGCTGGTTTGGGGATCGCTCTGATAGCTGCCATGCCTTCCCGTAGTCCTCGTAAGGGAGCCCTGCCAACTGGCGAATACAGCACGTACTGCCCCGGCTTGGCTGGTGTGGGGTTTGCTCTGGCACCTGGCATACCCTCCCGTAGTCCTCGTAAGGGAGCCCTGCCGACTGGCGAATACAGCACGTACTGCCCCGGCTTGGCTGGTTTGGGGATCGCTCTGATAGCTGCCATGCCTCCCGTAGTCCTCGTAAGGGAGCCCTGCCAACTGGCGAATACAGCACGTACTGGCCACGGCTTGGCTGGTTTGGGGATCGCTCTGATAGCTGCCATGCCTTCCCGTAGTCCTCGTAAGGGAGCCCTGCCAACTGGCGAATACAGCACGTACTGGCCCCGGCTTGGCTGGTTTGGGGATCGCTCTGATAGCTGCCATGCCTTCCCGTAGTCCTCGTAAGGGAGCCCTGCCAACTGGCGAATACAGCACGTACTGCCCCGGCTTGGCTGGTGTGGGGTTTGCTCTGGCACCTGGCATACCCTCCCGTAGTCCTCGTAAGGGAGCCCTGCCACTGGCGAATACAGCACGTACTGCCCCGGCTTGGCTGGTGTGGGGTTTGCTCTGGCACTGGCATACCCTCCCGTAGTCCTCGTAAGGGAGCCCTGCCGACTGGCGAATACAGCACGTACTGCCCCGGCTTGGCTGGTGTGGGGTTTGCTCTGGCACCTGGCATACCCTCCCGTAGTCCTCGTAAGGAGAGAGGGAGCTGTCCTTTGCCTACAAAAATATATGTACAGATCAGACCTAAATCACAAAAATAATACACAGAGAGCGGCGTCGGTTCTTCCCCAATCGGCATTCAAACGATGTTGCTATTTGTGAACAGCGCATATTTGTAGTTCAGCCCTGCTGATTTCACCCGTATTTGTAGTTCAGCCCTGCTGATTTCACCCGTATTTGTAGTTCAGCCCTGCTGATTTCACCCGTATTTGTAGTTCAACCCTGCTGATTTCACCCGTGATTTCGAACTACTGAGACCCCAGTCATCACGGCTGTATCTTCACTGGTTTGGTCCGGTTTGGACCGGTTTGGTCGTGCGACAGGACGGAGACACGAAGCAGCACATTACGGAGGTAGCCCGGTCTCTCTAGCGATGCCCACATCCAGACACTGTGTGTGTGATGACGGTAGATACAAAACGCGTGTCGAGATATCTGTGCGTTCATTATGACGTCACAGCGGACAGTCTTCTACGTTCCTGAGCTGAACTATTGGGATGTCAAACACAGCGTAACAATCCCATCGTATTACATTTGATCGCACTGCTCTGATTTGTACACTTATCGATATGGCGAAGCTATGCCTCAATCGTCTCACGTCATATGGCACTCCAGCAAATCGCGCCCAGATAATAAACGGCATGTGAACGGAACGGAAACGGGCTGAACGGAGCAACACGATGCCGTTTCGCTTTGAGGCTGGGTTTGGTGTCATAGTTGTACTTTAGTATCCAAATACGAAGGCAAGCGGTCTGTGGTATTCACAAAGATGCACGTTAGCGTGTTCATTCGGTCTGAATCAGATATATCACGACGTGTTTTCGAGATCATAC